AATACCTGCCCCATTTTCACCTGCCACTATCAGGTAATTAATGAGGGAGTCTCAGCAGCCCTGTCCATGGGAGACTCAACTTTCACAAACAAAACTCACAGCCCTGTGAGGCCACAGCCCTGCACCAGAGCTCCAGGGCTGGTTGTGTCTTGGGCAGCAGGGGAGAGAAGAACCAGTGGCTATCACCTGGACCAGGGAAGGTGTGTGCATCACCAGCACCTTCTCTCCAGCAGAAGCCAGAATGGTGGAAGGAACTGTTCCAGATGCCACATGGCACACAGTCCCTCCAGGTGATGTTGGTCATCAGGCAGCTTGGGGCCCATTGGCCCTCCCAGAGCAACAAACCCTCCTTGTCTTACACTATGTTTTCTGGGGAGTTCTCTGGGGATGTGGGCTCAGTGCAGACACTGCTCCACTGGGAAGCTGCCCCTGGGGGATACAGAGTGGTAGGTGGTATCCCTATATCAGGTTTTTCAAACTCAAAGTAAATTGACCTCCAGATTACACACAGGTGTGCATACACACACACACACACACACACACACACACTGCTCTTCCCAGACACCCCACTCCCCAAGCTTCTTTTTCTTTCTCTTTCTTTCTTTCTCTCTCTCTCTCTTTCTGAGTTGGAATCTCACTCTGTCACCCAGGCAGGAGTGCAGTGGCATGCTCAGGGCCACCGCAACCTCAACTTGCTGGGCTCAGGTGATTCTTCCGCCTCAGCCTTCCAAGTAGCTGGAACTACAGGCATGCGCCACCACACCCAGCTAACTTTTTGATTTGCCATACACATGAGGTCTCACTAAGTTGTCCAGACTGGTCTTGAATCCATGGGTTAAGGCAATCTTTTTACCTTGTCCTCCCAAAGTGCTGGGATTATAGGCGTGAGCCACTCCGCCCAGCCTACAAGTTTCTTAAACAAGGTCCAACCTTGGTGTTCACCTGCCAAAACCTTCCGGGGCTCTTGTTGCCTACAAGCTGAAGTTCAGACTCTGTATGATGCTCAAGCCTTTCACAATTTGGGTCCAGCCTCCTTTCATTAATGACGCTAATGGCTAAGATTGACGGAGTGTTTCATTATGACCTAGGCACTAGATTGAGGGTTTTACATGTGTTATCTTATTCAATTCTGACCTAAATTTAGGAGATGATGTCTGAGCTCAGTTTCCTCGTCTGTAAAATGAGAACATTCCAAGAACATCATTGGGTACAGTGTCTGTTAAGCAGTTACTGCTCAATTAACAGTAGTCATTACTGCATCATCCCTACTTTATAGATGAGAAAGTTGAGGTTAAGGGAGGTTAAGTAATTTGCCCAAGGCCACAGCTCATTCATAAGAGTCAATAAGGAAGTCTGGCTTTAGTGTCCAGGTTGGCCCGTGTTTCACCCTGTCGCTGAAGGCCTGGGTCAACTCAGAGCCAACTCCTACAGCTCTCCTTGACGAGGCCTTTGCACTTAGGGGTCCTCTTCCTTCATTCTCCTCCTGGAACCCTCCCCTCCCCCATGACCACTCTAGGCAGGGCCCACCCTATGCCCCTCTGCCTTCTCAAAAGACCTCTCCACTCTCATCTCACCAAGCTATCACTTCTACAGAGAGAACGCCCCTGCTCAGAGCAACAGTGTCCTAATCGCCTCTGGCTCCACCACACCTGGCTGGCATGGAGCAGACCTCCCTGAGTGCTGGATGTGTTTGGGAGCCGAATCCATCAGAGAGTCAAGCCAAGGGCAGAGAACAATACTTTCTGGCAGGACAGTCTGCCTGCTCTCAGCAGTCAGCATGCACCCCAGAGCGAACACACTGGCACTTGCCTTTGGCCAGAGCCTCCTTGCCACTTGCCAGAACTTCCAGTCCCTTGGTCCTGGCTCTCATTCTGCTCTGCAGCCTCCTGCAGAGTCGACCAGCAGCGGTTCGCCCCTAGAGGGGCCTATACCATCCATAGCACGAGTCCAGATGCTTTCTCACCTCCTCACTTCATTGATTCAACAAGTATTTATTGAATACCAACTATGACCAGGATTCATGTTTGGTGCCGGGCACAGAGTGGAGAGCAAAGCAGACATGGTCCCTGGCCTCACGAGCTTATGCTAGGAGGAGAGACAGTCAACCAACAAGTAAATATTCGAATGGATATGCAGCAGCAAATCCCCCATGAAGGGAAAGAATAGGGGCCATGAGATAGATGAACTATTCAAGTACATTAGTCAGGGAAGGACTCTCTCTGAGGAGGCAACACTTAAGCCAAGAACTCAGCCCCACAAAGGATAGGGGAAGAGCCTTTTGGGCAAAGGGAACAGCATATGCAAAGTCCAGGAGGTGGGAATGACATTGGAATGTTGAGGACCCAAGGAAGGCCAGGTGGGAGAAGCTCAGGGAGCAAGTTTGAAATGGTAAGAAATGAGGCTGGAAGTGAGATTGGGGCCAAAAAAGAATAATAGAATAAGGGTAATAGAAAAAGGGTTTCGAACCAGAGTTGACATAATAGGATCCGTAGGTTTCAAGTTCGCTCTGGTGCTGCTTAGAACTGACTGAGAAAGCAAGAGGGAAGACCTTCTGGAGGCCAGGGCCAGAATCCGGGGAAGTAACATGGCCAGACAGGCTGCAAGTCAGACAGAAGTGGATGGACTCCAGAGATATTTAAGAAGTAGAATATATTGGAGGTTTCCAGAATTAAAAAGTCTTTATTGGGTATCTGCAATAACCCCCACAAGGGCGCGAGAGTCAGAGAAACCAGAAGGGCTTGGGGACAGAAACAGAAGATGCAAGTCCTTGGCCACGGACACAAATTCACACAGCCACATTTCCCCCCCAGTTTCTCAGGGTAAATGAACCCAAGACCAATGGAGAAGCTGAAAGAGCTCATTTCAATGGAGTCAACAGATTCTTTTGGAGTTGTGTACCTGCAACATGAAAATGTGCTTCTCACAGTCCCGCTATGAGTGAACATTAGATTCTCAGGCTGGGAAAAAGTCAAATTGCAGGATTGTAGCAATGATCTGACATCCTGGGAACAGTGGGAGAGGAGAGAGGAGGAGAAAGAGGAGGAAGTGAAGGAGGAAGATGATGATGGGGAGGAGGTGGGGAAGGAAGAGGAGGCGGAGGAGGAGGAGGAGGAGGCAGAGGAGGAAGATGAGGAGGCAGAGGTGGAGAAGGAATAGGAGCAATTCTTCTTCCTGTCCTGAGTGGGCTCCTTCACGAGGAAGGTGAGGCCAGTCTTTGCCTTCTGTCACCTCCTGTCCCCTGTCCCCACTTCTGGGAACAAGTGTGACTGCCCTGCCCTCCTTTTACTTCAATTTCCCCTCTCCCCGCCTCGGGAACACACCCCACCAGTGACCCACTCTCTGAAATGACACCCTCTCTCTTGCTGCCACACATCTCAGATATGGCAGGAGGACAGCAATCTGATCCAACTAGTTCACACTAAACATGAAATTAGTACTCTCCTCTTTATTCCTCCTTGAGGAGTTGGCCTTTTCAAAAGAGCTTTGTGGGTCATTCAAATGATCTCTGTCCTCTCACCCACTTCTCTGAAAGGGCCCTTTTCTCTAGGGTTTCTGCAAACTCTACTTTTGAGCCCATGGAGTCTCCTCAATGCAGCCTCTGGGCAGTTGATTCCATCAAAGGAAGAAGGTGGGAGAATCTTCCCAGGGTGGCATCTGAAGTATTTAATAACTAGTGTGGAAAGAGAACCAATACATTGCCAGTTTGAGGACCCAACAGCCTTGGATCTACCAAGCATTCAATAGATCCCAGGGGTTCTAGGAGAAGTGCTGGGAGGTGGTGGTGGGGCACTCAGAGTCACTCAGGAGGAGCAGATATTTACCAACAAGGACAGAAGAGTTTCTTCACTTTGTCAACTGACATGGCAACACTGGTCCCACCAAATGTCAGTCCAGTCTCTGCTGTTCTGCTGGGAGGGGTCACAGGATCATTTGTTCCCTGTTAGAGGAACGCTGCCTGGGGTGGAGTTGGGTAACCACATGGCCTCTGAGCAGAGCCAGTCTTGTGGAGTCCTGGTGAACAGGATCTCAGGCCCTCGACCCACCGCGTGACCTTGAAGGGCCGAGCTGCCTTGAATTGTCCTTCCTCTTGCCCCTCCTCGCAGTTATTTTTGTCCAGCCTGACAGCCCTTGGCTGTTCCAGCGGTCTGGGCTCTGTGAGCCGGATGCAAACCAGGCAGCACAGACGTCTGGGGCTGAATCCCAAGAGAATTCCTCCCTGGGCGCCACCACGTGGGGCCATGGCCCCTTTGCACTGTGCTCCCAATGGGGAGGGACTGCACACTTGGAGGATGGTTACTGTGAGAGGCAGGAGCTGGGTTTTCCACGTTCAACTCTGGCTCTTGTCTGGGACAACTGTCCGAGGCCTGGTGTGAGGCCTGGTGTGCCACAGAGTTTTGCTGCTGTCTAGACCTTCCAGCTGGGCTTGTCAAGCCAGCTGTGTGCAGGAGTTAGTTAGTCAGCTGGAGGGTGGGGGTCTGCAGCT